ACGCCTGTTAGCTGATGTTCCTGAACCCAATGAGAGGGAGCCTAGCATTTCATAGATATATATATATTTAACTTTTTTTTTTTTTTTTATGGACTCTGGGCAGTTTAAGTTCAACTCAGATTACTTTTTAGACCATCCTAAACTGAGACAACGATTGTTATTTAATGAATTATTTTTATTCTGTTCTTATTTATTTGTTGACGTTTCTGTCTTTGGAGAAAATGCTGCACATTTCCAACGTGTTCCTCCATGGTGTTTTTTATTCGGTGTGATGTTGAACGGTATTTTTTACTCGCCCAACATGTTTCCATGTACAGTTTGTGCGCTTTTGGAGAAAGTCTGAGTGAAGTGACCTCACCTTTTTGTTTTATAGCTTCCTGTCTTTTGTTAAAGTGTGTTAGTTCACTTGAACGCTTGCAAGAGGAGTGTTTCTCTTAAAGAAACAGCAGTCATCCTGTTTTTTTTTTATTAAGTTCCTGTGTTGCGTGTCTCCTGGGGAAGCGAAACATCTTGGACTTGCGTAAAATGCCATAAAATTCTAATCTTATCTGCTCTTTGCTGCCTACCTCAGCAAAGGTTTGAAACAAAAATAAATAAATTCAGAAAGATGTCTCGCAGTAATGTGGAGGGTGTGTGGTGATGACTCAGATGATGGGGCCATTTGATGTTTGAAACATAAACTCAATTCCAGTGTTGATCCTGTTGTTATGGAGCCTGCTGCTTCCTCTGACCACTTCCAGCCGTGTTGCATGAGCGGGAGCAGTGAGTTGTGAAACCAGCGCGGTCACCGGACAGCAGATCTGACGGACCTGCTGTTATTTGGCCCAGCACTGGCCGGATGCGCTTTGTTTTATTTTGGTGGACGAGCAAAAGCTAATCATGGAAGTAACTCCTCAGGTACCGGCTCTCTCTCCCTAATGTGATCACTGTAAATACAATTCTTAATGTACAGATGAATGTGAATAGTAGCACGATTATTGTACAGGTAGGATACTGTGTGTGCACCGTCACTCAACAAGTGCTGACCCTCTCTGGGCGCGATGTTGCTGTCAGCTTTTTCTATTGTTTTTATTTCCCACTTTGCCACATAGACGGTCGGAGGACTGAGAGCGCCCAGAAATCAGAACTGCAACAATCCAAACTGTAAATAAGACCTGAAACTCAGAGCTCAACTCTCAAATAAAGATGAGTTTAACTGTTTCACTTGTGTTTCTCCTAATATTCCAATTTAAGTCCCTCATTAACATTTACTCCATATATTACTAGATAAATATGTCATAATACAGAATATCCAATCAGCCAGTCGCATGTCAGCCAGTGGAGATGTGCTGCTGGTGATGACATGATGACTAAAAATGAGAATGAGGAAGAAAGATTTTAATTTGCAGACCTTAATGTGAAATAGTTGTTGGTGCCAGAAAGGCTGGTGTGAGAAACTGCTGATCTACTAGGAATTAATTTGTGGTTCACAGTAAACGATAATTCTAAAAAACGGAATTTCCAGTAAGCAGACATTAGGAGGAGAAAATAAAAATGCTTTGTTGGTGTTTGAAGAGAATGGGGTTGCTGGTTTGAGATGATTGGATGCAGAGTGGCAACTGGGAACACGAGGAACCCTGAATCAGGAGGACTGCAGCTGACCTCGGTCTGCACAGAGCAGAGAACAGGAAGTGGAACTAACGCTTACTACAGTGAAAGAGCAACAGACTGCAAACAGATGTCAAGTCTTGATTTCAGCCACAACTTTCAGCTGGTGTTTTATTTCATCTTTATTTAACCAGGTGAGTTATTAAGAATGAATTCCCTGGATGATGAGAGGGAAGAACACATGGAAGGATTACTATCAACGACAAATATGACCAACACTGTAGAAATCAAAGTAATAATAACAGAGACAAGGGCTTAGGATAAAAATCGTACATGTGCTGGATGATTTGCACCATGTCACAAATCATCTTATCCAGGTTTAATAAAGATTTAATGAAACTGGAAATGAGTTCACTGCTTCCGGTCTCCACTTGTCAGAGCTCCTGGGCCGTGGAACAATGTGAGATGAACATGATAGAGCAGCAAACACTAGATCTCCTGTTACTGTGTAGTGCTAGTGTCAGCAGGAACCAAAATTTCTGATATCTGCACCACAAAGAGTTAAGGCAGTCCTGCAGGAAGCAGAGGTACAGCTTGGTGCCATGCGTCCATCTTTTGTCAGTAAGGCTTTTTTGGCTCTAGTGGCCTTTATTTGAGAGAGGTCAGACAATAACATGGATAACGACAGAGGAGGAAGACATGCAGCAATCATCAGGCCGGGATTCGGACCTGTGACAGCCACATTGAGGACTAAGGCCTCCATGCGGGTTGCACTTTAACTCTGACCCACCAAGCAGCCCCTTCTCCCACTTCACAGAATTACTAATTACATCAAATATTTGAAAGGCATGCTATATAAATATGGCTCCGGAATAGAAAAAACACCCAAGAAAAGCATTTGTACTTGGATTCTTGAAGTATTGAGTCAAAGTACAATTACCAAAAACATACTTTTTCTGAATTAATCCAGCTCAAATAGAGTGAGTTGGAGAGACTTTTTAACCACAAATTCCATGTAACTTACTAAAAGTGAGTGTTGATAGTAATTTGATGAAAACTGATTTAAGTGTCCTGTTTTCAATTAAATCCCATGTTTGCATTTACAGTGCAAGAACATCTGTTTGTACGTTCATATGGTGGAGGAGTTTATAAGAGGTCACTCCCTGCTGGAAATGATTCTGTCCAAACAGTCTAGTATCAGAGTCAAGAACCTGTTTCTAGAACTTTAGCTTCTTTTCTTTACATTTATTTTCAATCTGAGAGTTGCCTACCGAACGTCTGAAAGCAGCTCTTTGAGGTGACTCGACTTCTTTCTTTGGTGGGAAGGCTCATTCCTTCTGGATATTTCCAAAGTGTTTGCCAAACTGAAGAATGTGGGTCCTGGAAAGTGAAACAGTTCAGTTTCTGTCTGAAGGAAAGAACCCAAAAGAATCTTACTAAGCACTTGTTGTTTCCAGTGTAACTATTACAACTAACGCTGTAATTAAAGGTTAAATGAAAAAGAAATCCCTATTGGAGCAGCATTTTTACTTCAGGTTTCTCTGAGGTAGATCACTTCAGTCACTTGTTTCTAGGATCCCATTCTTCGGATCATGATATATTTTGAAATCACATGTTAATTATGGACATTTGCCCTTTTGCTCAGCTTCTCTGAAAGCACATCTGAAAGCAGTGACCATCGTAGTTCAAAGACAGGAGCAGAACCTCAACATCGGTTAAAAAGCAGCAGAACTTTAAGGATTGGCATCTCCGCTTCCTTTCATTTTCTGTTGCAGAAAAAGAAAAGGAAGCAGCACCATGATCAGAGTTAACAACTACTGGAACTCCAGGAAACTGATCAAACTTCTGCCCTATTTTTTTATTTTATTTTATTTTTTATTTTGCGTCATCCATCACATGTGGCCAGTGCATCTCTCAGCAAACACTGGCTGACGTCAAGAACAGCTTGCTGAAAGCAGCAACTTTTTACTTCTGTTTTCAAAACGGACAGATGTTTTAGATGCTTAAAACAATCACTGTGATTTCTGCCTGTCAGTTTCTTTTACATTTACTAGAAAATGGTGGAATTTATAACAGCACTTCCTGCAACGTCACAAAGCGTTAAAACATTAGAAAAGATGAACGGCAAACTGCAAATGGGTCCTGTGTTGTGAGCACTTTTTTTTTGTGTGTGTGTGTTTTCAGGATAATTGATGCAGTCGCTGGTTTGTGGTTTTGTTCCCTCACATTTGTTTTGAGCAGATGTAAAGCGCAACATAAGTTTAGAAAGCCCATCTGTTGAATTTGAAGAGTTTGGCCAGGTTATTGTTTCATATTGTTTGAGAAAGGAAATCTGCTGGTTTAAGAGGAAATGTGCTGGGTTTTAACCTTTGGATGTTGATATTTTACTTTCAGTGACTTGGACATTTTGCCTTTTTTAAAACAAGAAAATAGTGCTGCCACTTCTCCAGCTGATTCACTCTCATGTTCCAAATTCCAGAAGGTTTACAGAGGAGCATTTTGTTGCTGAGTCTAACTCTCTGCATCATTTAAACATAACCAGCCTAAAAGGCTGACTTTTAATTTACATGTGTTATACCTGTTGTTTGTTTAAACGTAGCATACTTCAAAATATCGCAAAAGTACTTCATAACATAGTCTGATCCATTCTGTTGGTTCGATATATTTAATAGCAAACAGTTTGAAAGCATTAAAATGGGCTTTTTACAAGGAGAACGTCACATATCAGATATGAATAATCCAGTTATTACTTATCATTTGTTTCATTTTCATGTTAATGTTTATTTTATTTCATTTATTTATTTTTTTCTACTTCTCAGGTATTTGTAAGAATGGTATTTTTGAATGGGAGTTGTATGGTGACCATCCAGAGGATGTCTTGGAGGATGAATCTATGATTGGAATATGACTGCCAGAAATCAGCTTGATAAGACGCTGTATGAGCAGACAGTGACGTGGAGTTGTTTTGGAAGTCTCATGCTTTTATGGCAACCAGAACATCTCTGATCATAAGTTTTTGGAAATATGAGACATGTGCACTGATGTTGCAGCAGGCACCCGCATGCAAGTGTGTTGCTAAATGCTTTGGGAGGAGGGGTCTCCCAAAGCATTTTTGTACAGTCAACCTGAATATTCATATTCAGGTTGACTGTACAACCCCAAGTCAAGACCAGGAGAGAAAATGGCATCTACAAGTCAACCAAAATCTAACAGCTCTCCAAACTGACAAGGTCGGGTTTGGATCGGCTTTGAATCATCCTGAAGATGAAGGGAGGGATGAATGCAGCATGAAGCAGAAATGAGGCCTAATAAAAAACCCAAACTAGAGAATCTATAACTAAAACGGCTAATTCCGCCTCTGCAACATAGATGTCCTCTTGTGAAATGGGACAGAAGTTCATTTTCCGGTCTTTATAGAAGCGAATCAATGTGAATCTGCAGGGACTCTAAATGTGTCTTCAGTGAGGACAGTTGGACAGTCTTTATTGGGACTTTGCTCTGTTTATGCTGATGTTCTTATCACGCGCATATATTCTGTTCATTCCAATCAGATTTTTTTTTCACAGACTCCGGGAACGTCAAAGCCCTAACAAACAGGAAGTTCTGGTGTCATTTTCTGCTCTTGGTGAAACTCATTTTAAATCGAGACTCTTTTCAATGGAGCGCGGCTTTCAACGTGGGCGAAAGTGCAGATAAATGGAGGCAGTGGCAGGCAGTCGGGACTCGGTCCGCGAACAGGAAAGCACAAGACATGGAGGAGGAGAACAACTGCCGGTGTGACTGGGAGGGAGGAGTGGAGGCAGAGGCAGAGGCAGAGGCAGAGGCAGGCCTCCGGTGCCAGAAGAGCCGACACATTCAGCTCCAGAGGGAAAGGCACCGACGACAGATGGCCCAGTTTGTGGCGGCGGCGCTCCTTCTGCTGCTTTGCGGAACTGTGGCGGTGTTCCTCACGTTCAGACTGGAGAGGCGGTGTGACTGCGCTGCTGACAGCCAGGTAATTGTTCACTTTTAATCTGTTCTCAGCAGCTGTTGTGAACCGCGTGTGGAAGTATTACTGTTTAAGAAGCTGCAGGGTGCAAACTGAAGTTTTTCAAAGTGCGCAACTGGTGAACAAGCTTCTGTCAGCAGGGAGGTCAGGGTGTGTTCCCTCGTGCAGGATCAATGCGCTTCATTTATGTATTAATTTAGTGAATATAGGTCGCGTTTCGAGAACAAGCTTTCTCTACACGCACGTGCGGGTTGTGGATGCGGGTTGTTGTGACCAGGCGCGCGTGGAGAGAGACCCACGGACAGCGACCCACGGAGCCGCTTTAGCCGAGAGAAAAGACAATTCAGCCCATAGGGAAAGTCCCCAGTTTCCTCTCTCTTCATTGTAGGTCTCCCCGGTTCATGTTTAATCTGTTTGTGTTTTTTTCTTTGTTGCAACTGTTGTTGCAGTAGAGCTCACAGCACGCCTCACACTCAGATGGTGCCACATTTATTTATCTGATGTATTCTGTGGCCTGGACAGCTCTGGTGATAAGAATCCTCTCTGCCAATGATTGACAGCGTTTGGTGAAGGCAGTGTGATGATGTTGGTCATTAGAAACGACGTTTTGCCGTCATTTGAAACAATCTCAGTGGAGATGGGAAACATGAAACATGCTGTTTCAATAACATGAAACAGCAGAGACCAAGTTGGTCAACACACAGGGTGAGCAGACAAAAGTATTTGCTAGGAATTAGTCATGTGTGACCAAGCTGATGGTCAGCAGGATGACTGCTGCTATTACAGGCTTCTCTGACATACTGTTTGCTAAGTGAATAAATTCAGTAAGCCAACATGTGTTGCATCCTAAAACTTCAGTCATCCAATCATGACTGAGCATATTCTGCTCAGTCTGTTTGACATTGGTGGAGTGGGAGCTTGGCAAGCTGTTCACACAACAACTAACAGACCCTTAAAACATTAAAACATTTAAAGGTCGACTAGGATAACATATTGTTTTTACGAGATATATATTCTCCTTCAGTTATGCCCCATTCAGGCTTTTACTGGCCTTTGCTGATTTCTGGTTTTCTTTGAGGTCTGACCTGTTAGTCTGGATTTAACCAAACCCTGTTTTATCTCCAAGTACAAAGCAAACAAATTCACTTGTGTAAGCTTTATTGTATTTTACCAATCAAATGTAACAAACTTTGGCTCCAAAATAAGGAGTCTGCTTCTAGAACAGCTTGCTGGATTTTTTTTTTTCCTTCTAGTTTTGATGAATCCAACAGGAAGTTCCATGTTTACATAGGTATCCCCATTAATTCACCAAAGTGAATCCTGGAAATCCATTGGCTGATTCCTGAGCAAAATAAAAAAATGGAGCAGATTAGACATAAAGTTAGACAAGAAAGGCCTAAATATTTTGGACATGTGCATTGCAGGGATCGTGAAAATATTAGACTTTGTTTTTGTTTATGAAAGTGTCAGTGGAGGAGAAATAGAGAGAAACCACTGAAAAGGTTCATGGAAGACAGTGCAGGTGGATCTGCTTTGTTCAAATAATTCCCTGCTGCTAAAAACATGACGGAATTCTGTAAAAATCTTTCCTCCTTCGAATCCAGAAAAACTAGACTCCAATCTTGTTACATTTTTGTAAAACATTAAAAGCAGCCAGGCTTTCTACAGGAGCCAAGTATTCTACCCAGAGTTTTCTTATTCAAACCATATTCACCTTGTATAATGTGCTGGGCTGAAATAATAAAGGTCTGGTAGACGTATTGTAATATAAAGACGTATTGTAATATGCAGGGCATAACTTCAACAACATTCACGTTGAGTATTGTTATTTTAGACTCTGCATGTTTTAGAAGTCGTGCTGCAACTGTACTTTAGCACCATAAACTAGCTGCAGTGTGATTGGTCAGGTTATAAATAGAATCACCTGTATCACAACCACATGATCTTTTTAGCGCCAATTTAGAAACTGATTCTGTTTTCCTGTTTTAACAAAGTCTGTGTTTGTTTTTTTTCTCCCAGACCAAGTCTGAGTCTGACAGCCAGTCATCAGGTAAATGTGTTGTTTGGTGAGAGGTTGATGCTGAAGTCTGTTTTTGTTTTACACATCATTTGTTAAAGGTGATATATTTTGTATCTTTGTCTTAGGTGTTGCTGAAAAGCTGCAACAACCTCAATGTGCACAGCGGCTTCCGAGCACCATGTTGACAGGTAATGATGTTTAAACGTGAGGGAAGGAGGACTTTTCTGGGTTTCCATTTATAAGAAGGCCTAACATCCCTGACACTGACTCTTCAGCTTTTCTCTCATTCATTGGTCTCTCCCCACTTCTGTGTGCCTGATAAGGAACTATTGTAGTATTAATAATAAAGTGTCTTAACACAGCCTTGTCCAGACATGATTGTCTTACAGAGTAACTCTGAAATGTTGAGGTAATGTACCTAGATTATCTAGGTCATGTCGTACCTACTGACATACACACACAGGTGTTTCGGAAATGTCTCCAGAAATTAACCTCTTACTTTGGGAAAAAGTAAGTCCCATTCAACCATTTTTTAATCATGTTCTATTAGAATGCAGATGGGCAATAGGCCACATTCCTCCCTCCCCAGGAATCTGCTGAGTTAGTTTTTTTTCAGCCAGATACGACACAGTCAGCACTTAAAACCATCCCTTCATGTTTTACTCTGACTCTTCCAGTGACATGGAACAAAAGAATAAGACAGTTAAATAATAAAGGTATGAAATTATGATTTTAATTACATATTCTAGTAAAAGTGTTAGAGGCTCATTCCCCCCTCGTCTCAGCTACTGTAAGGATTCAATATGCTGATCTTTATCAGTGCCAGCACAGCACCACTTAGTGTTCATCTCCCTATAAGCTTAGCACTCAGACAAGCTACTGTCAGATCATCTGACAGTAGCCAATCAGAACCACTCCTCCTGGTTCTGATTGGTTGTTTTTGCATTTCTTCAGAAGGCAAAAATAGCTTATGGGGGAGGTGAAGGAGATCTATCTTTTCATTTTATCTGTGTCATGCTAAACTATCATGACATGGTGGCAGTTTAAACAAATATGTAAAAAGCATATACTTTACTGCAGCTTTAAGCAAACAGTTGTGGTGGCTGCCTATTTTTTCTGATATCATGACAGCCTGATATCTGATATCATGATGCTTCAGCATCGTGTGCATAAACCCAGTAGTGTGATGGAAGTATAACCAGTACAAACCAGATAATATTGAGTTTGATCTTATTGAACTTTTTGCTCTTGGTGGCCAGTAGAGTCCTGTTCTTTCCTTTGACTTTTTCTTAATTTTACATGAAATATTATCTTGTGTTTCTGTCTGCACTTTCAGTTCTACGTGAAAACACCACAAATGGAAAATATCTTCTTTGGGAAGACACAAGAGGAGAGGCGTACATTGATGGAGGTTTCAGATACTTCAACGGGAGTCTGATGGTGCCCAGGAAGGGCCTCTACAGAGTTTTCCTGCAGACCCTCTATGAGAACAGTAAATGTGATGATTTCCTGGTGGTCCGTAGCGAGGTTTTGGTCTTCAGACAAGGTTACCCAAAGGACCAAACTCTCCTAAAAGCAGAGGATACACTGGGTTGCAAGCATAATGTAAAAAGATCTCTCTTCACATCTGGCATATTTAGGCTGGATACTAATGACAAACTACATGTAACTTCTTCTCATCCAAACCTTCTGTATAAAAATGACTTCCATTCATTCTTTGGAGCTCAGCTCGTGTCTGATGATTGGCCAGAGAAAGGTAGTGGCTCCTGAGTCCAACGATGCAGGTTTATGCTTTAACTAGTCCACCTCTGTAGCGCCAAGTAGAACCTTCTCAGCAGCAGGTTAGCTTCCTTTCTACATTTTCTTCTCACTAACAGCTGCCACATCACTGATGCAACAAAGCTATACTAATCAGTAACAAGTTATTTGAAGCGTGCATAACACTGACATGACCCTGTCTTAAACACAACATGACACCTGTTATGGAGTCTTAATGAGTGTTTATGACTGTCATCATGAAGTTCACAACTGAACAAAACACATAAAGAATACTAAGCAGAAAATTAGATTTGGTAAATAATGACACTTTTAATGCAAAATTGTACTAAAAATAGAATAAAAAAATCTATTATTTACTAAACGACACTTCATGACCATAACCATTCATAAAGACTCCTTCATGTTCAGAACTGGTTATGAATAAAGTGTTACCCACTGATCTAACGTGTCAACTTTGTAGCACATTCCATTCTGTGTTAAATCTCCTGATATATCTTATATTTTACATTTATTATATTGCATATTATGCTGGGATGAAATATTTTTGTGTTTCTAGAAAGTTTTTAATTTATTCTAATTTATCATAAAGGGACATGTATTATAGGGCTTGCATCAGGCTGGGAGTTATTTTGTATTGTTTTTTTATTCTCGTTTCCTGTAAGTCTGGAGTTATGAGGTGATGAAAGCCACTTGTTATGAAGCAAGTAACCAAGTAAATAAGTAAGGGAGAATTTTTGCCTTGTACACACGGTGATGTCTGATTAAGTGCTCATTTCCCCAGGATTTATAACGAGCATGACTGTTTATTTTTAGTAGCAAATGTGTACAAATTAATTAATTGCATTAATTTAAATCTGATCTTTGTCATTGTCAGTTTTCTTACTATTGTTATTTATTTATCAGTAATTTGACCAGGTCAAATTCTATAGGTGCTACTGAAATGTCTAAGGTCAGGTAGTCTTTCAGAGCTAGTATAAAAGCTGTATAGTAGTTCACTTGGATGAAGTACTTTACACAGACAGTAGATTTGAAGAGCCGCAGCTACGTGTGAAACAGTTTGTCTGCTGAAGCCACTTCTTTGATATTAGAAGTTGCTAGAGACAGACAACAAACAGGAAGAATTTAGCTGGATGGAGAATGAAGACAGAAAGTTGTTCCACTAAAATCAGTTTCTGCAGAGTAGCTCAGGTCAAGGTCGACTGGATTTAGCTCATCTGGGCTTCACAATTGAACAAAACACATAAAGAATACTCAGCAGAAAAATTTGAAACCCCCCACTTCCACTGATATCTGTCCTGAATCCACCAAAATAGAGTAGCACTGTATTTACTCTCTCTTTGAAGTCCTGCTGTGTCAGCATGTTTTTCTAATCAATGATGGGGGAAAATGACATGTTCAAAATGTAAACACGTCTGATGGGTTCTGGAAAATGCTTTAGGCAGTGCTATGTGTGCTGAGGGCAGGGCCAAATTAGAAATCTGTTCAAATATTTATTTTGGCTTTTCACTTTATTTTTTTTTATATCAAAAGTGCTGCTTGATAATGTGCTGAAGTGATTGTTTGAATCATGGCTTGTAAGCTGTATTTCTGTATTCTCCAGCTAATGCTGTGATTTAACTCTTAAAATGCCATTGCTATCTGTGAACTATATAGTTGGGAGTCTGTATAGTGACGGTCAGGGGTTCTGCAATAAAGATGAATTCTAAAAAACACACACACACCTGGTCCAACATGGCATCATTTCTCAGTTTGTCAGTGCGAGGATCCAAAGAGCCCCAAAGAAGGTTTTTCTCAGGAAGAGAGCGTCAGGCTGGACGAAGCCAGCCACAAACGCAAAGATCACATGTAATTACGATAAACAGGAGCAACTGGTCTAGTTTACCAACAGCAAAGAGTTGCAGTTGTCTTCATAAATCTACATCGAGGCATAATTTTTGAATATGATTTATACTGTCTATAAAAGTATTCACCCCCTTGGACGTTTCATTGCTTTTACAACTCAATCATTGTCAAGTAAAATTAGGCTTTTTAAAAACCAAAATACAAAAAGACTTAAATATCAAAACGAAAACCGTGTTTTCATCCTTATCATTACAACGCTGTGAAAAAGTATTGAACGACTTACAAACGTCTACAATTTTTTAAATTTATTTGTCATTGTGATGGACCGAGCAGTAAAGGAGAGTCATTCATATAATAGATCAAAATAAAGGAACTCTATCCAAAGAAATGGCAACAATAATTCAAACTGACTCTCAAAAAGAAAGCACACAAGAAACTGGAATAGTGGCTGATCATGGGACAGCAGTGAGGAGGAAGGAGCTACCAGATATTGTGTCTGTTCTAGGAAAACAAAGACAATTTTAAAGCATTCATTTTCATAGTCTCATTAGCCAAAATAATAAGTGTTCAATTCTTTTAACCTCTGATAGGTATTTTGTTTACCTAAATAAAAAGAACCACAGACAACGTTAATTAGTTTGATCAAGGTCTCGTTTGCAAAAAGAGAAAACACAGTCTGCCAGCCTGGCAGAAACCAGCCTGGCAGAAATCAGCCTGGCAGAAATCAGCCTGGCCCCTCCCAGCTGTTCTGACTCTTTGCAGCAGAGATTGTCTGTTTTATTAGTACAAACAAAGCAAGAGTGAAAGAAATGCGGGAGGTAATGAAACAAGAAAAAGGAGGCTGGTGCTGATTACAAGAAAGGAGAACACAGGAATATATTCTAAACAGAGACAGTTTTACAACTAAGGAGTATCTCAGGAGACCATCTGTAAAAAAACATGTTTAAGGTTAAAGAAAGGTTAGCTATATCTCACACACTTTAACAAATTAACCATTCAAAGTATTAATGTTAGAATGATAAGACGCTTACTAATACTGTTAAGCTCCTTGCAAACGCTCCTCTCCATTTCAGATAAACATGTCAGAACCTCATTTTGAACTTCTGCTTTATTTGTGCATTTCTGGGAATTCGGAGCAGAAGATTTAAGCTTTATTTAAGTTGACCTTGTTCTGTGCGGTTTCTGTCCTCAGCCTCTTCTTCTGCTTAACCTTCTAACTCCTCCAGCACATCTTTACTCCTCTTCCATCTCTTCTTCTCTCTGGCTGTTGATCCCGTCTAAATCCTTGTCCTTCCATCGTCAGAAGTGTGACATTGTGTTTTTTTGTCTGGCTGCACACGCTATGTTGATGGTTCATGAGATGCAACTTTGATCTATTTCAGAAAACTGGTTGATCGTTGGTTGATCAAATGCTGCACACATTTACCCACAGTGGAGAAAGTCAGAATTCACCTGGGAGCAATTTATCAGTCCAGGACAGATTTAGAGAAAAGTCGAATGGAAATGTAAAGAAATTGACGTAGTATGAGAACCATGCTAAAGATTATATGCAGTGGAGGTATTTTTATAATATATTCTGATCAATATGACAAAAGTCATTGACATAATCACTTTTATGATGTGAGGAAGCATTTACAACTTGTTGACAGTAACAAGAAGGAGCTGTTTTGATGTGCACCAGTGACACAATGATTTGAAGATCATAAAGGAGTTTTGAGAATTTCAATTCTGTTCTGAGAAGTGCAGCAAAACTACCGAGAAAAAAAACTGTAAAGGAATGTGAAAAACAATTCCACTCCGGCAGGAGAAGTACTGGCTGTGAGGTGGCGACCTGCAGAAAACCCCCGACATCTCTGCATGTGCCTAAAGTGGCCTAATCAAAGTCTGAACTTAGATCCAGGTAAGCTGCTGTGGGACAGCGGTAAGTGGATTACTTATCAGGGGCAAAGTGCTATGCTCTTAAAAATAAAGATGATTCAGTTCTGAATTACAACTTTGTAGTTTTTTGCTAATCTTATGTAAAGCACCTGAAGCCGCCTGTCTGCTGGCATGTGATACAAGGATAAACTTGAATGACTGAACTTGACTGATACAGGCAATAATCGATAACAGGAAAAGAAACGTTTTCCATCATCATATGAAAATGACATAAGACCTGAAGAGTGAAACTGACTGAAGAGATGCAGAGCAGTTTCTAGGGCAACAGGTCAGCTGTGGTTTGTCTTGATCACACATGAAACAGACAATAACACACACGCATACAATGAAAAATTATTATATAAATTGTGAGTGAGAACCGAATATCGTCAGACATGAAAGAACATGAAAAACTATGCAGGAAACAGCATTTTGTCAAAGAATACCGAGGCAAACAGACTTATCTGTTAATATTTTGCTTTTTTTTCTCCACGTGACTGCAGTGTTTCCCATAAGTCATGAAGAGTGAAGATAAGGAACCATAAAAAAAAATAAACAGAGTGCAGAGGCGGGGGGAAGAACACAACCATTCCAGAATGAGAAATGATTGTGTGCTGACATCTGAATGCAGTTTGGAATGTAAGCAGGAAGATGAGTTTATTCAGTTTAAAGAGCTAAAGAGGATAATTAATAATTAATGCAAGATAGATAGATAGATAGATAGATAGATAGATAGATAGATAGATAGATAGATAGATAGATAGATAGATAGATAGATAGATAGATAGATAGATAGATAGATAGATAGATAGATAGATAGATAGATAGATAGATAGATAGATAGATAGATAGATAGATAGATAGATAGATAGATGGATGGATGGATGGATGGATGGATGGATGGATGGATGGATGGATGGATGGATGGATGGATGGATGGATGGATGGATGGATGGATGGATGGATGGATGGATGGATGGATGGATGGATGGATGGATGGATGGATGGATGGATGGATGGATGGATGGATTTTACAGTCCAGATGTACATGGGATCATCTGTAGGTGATTTTTTTTTAGTTTCATTTGTGTTTTCGGCTTCGATCGTCTCCTTATTACTTATTAATATTTGGTCTTTATATTTGTTGTATTCTTGCATCTCTATTTTGCTGCTTCTTTATTTCCCGACGGCTTCCTTGGATTTATTACCGCTTAGACTTATTAATTAGCAGGGGTGTTTCTGCATTTGTGGATTTCATATTTAGTTTATTTTCTCGACGCGTGTTTCTTTGTAGATCTCCTCTAGTTCTTTTTTCCCATCGTTGTGTTAGAACCCATTGTGTTAGAACCCGTCATTCTCCTTCCAGCTGTTTCTCATTTTCTTGAAACTCATTCTCACGCCCACACTGTGTTGTTCTCTGTCTCTTACCTGCAAGTATTTTTTCATAATTGTGTGTTAATTCCACATTCCTGGAGCATTTCCCTGTGACAAAAACAAGAAAAAATAAACAATTGCATGCAGACTTCAAATAAAAGAAATCATATTTCATCAAACAACTTGGTTATGGTATGCAATATGCACACAGGTTATTATGTAGCTTTTTTTATTTTTTATCTCTGCCTCTGACCCATTTGTTTGTTTCTCAGTTTAATTCCTGACTTGTTATCTGTGATGGACTCATGACCTCTACAGTCTCTTTGACCCTGCAAAGAGAAGCAGTTGCACACTGTGGACAGATGAATGATGATTCAGGTGCAGAAAAACAATTCAGACGAATTGAAAAGAATCATTAGCGAGGCAGTGAGTGTGTGGGCGGCTGGGGTTTCAGTCCTGTACACACACCTCCACAGGTGAAAGTTTAGAAGGAAATGTGAAGCTATGAAACGGGCGGTATGCTTCCAAGGAGTGACGCAACGAAAGAATTCAAAGCACGTTTTTGGACTGACATCCTTTAACCGACAACTGTCAGCCTACATCAGCAAATATTTCATTTGCAGAACATGAATTTCATGTTCTGCAACAATGCAAATTTGTTTAGTTTTAAAAATTAGGTTCAGTGTGACAGAAGTTTTTCCTTTGGGCAACATGGCTCTATGCCCAAGGTGCCAACAGTCCAGGGGGGAGGCACAGGCATGTGGGCAAAAGTAACTTCTCCTTTGCCAAATCATTTTTATTGCTTATTAGCATGTGCTGTCAATGTGGAGCACAAATAGCTGTGTGTTCATGCATACAAATTGCATTGCTATATCTAACAATTTTAGAGATAGCACTGCTGCTGGGGAGCAGTGCTAAAGTTTGAATCTCAGTGACAAAATGGATTTAAATTCCCCCCCTCAAAAAAAATTCTTATTCCTCAAGCTTATGTATTCAAATATGACAAATAATGGTTTGGAAATGTAAAGATGCAGAGGCGCAGGCTCCCGGTTGCAAACGTTTTTGAAAATTACAATTTTAAGGGCCCTGACCTAGAACTTTGTCAACGTCATCTGTCAAAAATAAATATAAAATTATTTTTTTAATGTCCCTGTTAGTGATATTTTACTCAATTTTACAGACTAATGCTTCTCAAGAAACAAAAGAAATATTATTTAAAACAAAAAAACAACAAAGTCCATCTGACTTTATGTCTGATGCCCCCCAAAAACACCTGATTATTCTTACAGTCTGACTATTCTGATTATTCTTTTATGTCTGACAGTGTTGACAAAAACCTGGGACAAATTTCAATGGAGTTGGAAAATAGATAAAAATGATTTGTAATTATTTATTTGAATACTTATACTTAATTGTCATAATATATCAACTTAGTATTCCTTCATTTGTTTTCAACTATTATATTGTATTGAGTTTTGCATTGTCCATCTGCTACAAAGTTTAAAATAAGAAATATTAAGCAAACATGAGAAAAACATACCTAGTTGTGCTCACATGGCCCAAGTTAGTTTAGCCAGATAT